GTTAGAAAATTGCACTTGATCATGTCGCGATATTATCGCAAATGCGATATATCGTTCAGCCCTAATTTCAACTGTTTCAAAGATAAATGAGTGGAAGTCTGGACGCTTTGCAGTCTTGGAAACATTTCATTCTTTGTGTTAAAACACTCAAACCACCTTTTTCTGGCAGAACCTCACAAACACCTCAAAGATCCTTCAAACATCTGCGTCACAGCGTATGAAACAAGTCGCTCCAACCTCCTGTGGCGGTGTCAAGTCAGACTTAAACGTCGCCAGCTCTTCTCACAGCTGTCCTGAACACTGCAGCTCAGATTTCACGTGAAACCAAAGAACGACCTCCCCGCTCAAAGCTGTTCCCTTCATCGCTGTAACGACACCTGTTGAAACAACTTGCAGGAAAATGATTTGGTGCAAAGTGCCAAAAGCTGAACTTGGTTCCATTTGCTAAATGAAAAACACTGGTGCAGCTGCCACCTTTCATTTAAAACATCTCTGCTTTTTAAAATTCATCAACCAAACAATTCCTCAGTCTCACATTAATCATCTCCAACTCTTTTTCTGCAGATTAAATCGATTCTGCTCATTTCCACCTTAAACATTTGAGGCCAACCATCCAAACCTGCTCGAGCAGCTCTGAATGATTCAAAATAATTACACGTGACCCCGGGGCTGGCCCTCAGACCAGGAAGTCCCGTCTGGTTTGATTATCGGCTAATTTTAATGAGAACATGACAGAAAAGCAGCAGAGACCGGCTTCAACGACACTGAGAAACAAAAACAACACCAAATGTCATTTGTCTGAATCGCAGGTTTATTCTTGTTTATTTGGGTTTAAATTAAATAAGGCACATTCACATCATCATTAAGACTCGGCTTTGACATCCGCTCAGATGAAGTTCAAACATAAAGGTGGTTCCTGTGTGAGGGAGACAGGAAACAGTGACACTGACGGGAGACACGTTTGCAGCACTCTGCTCGTAACCATCAAATCGACTCTCGAGTAAAACCGTCAAAACCACAAATATGAAACATTAAACAGCAGGACAGTCGGCTGTGATGGAATACCACAGTTTGTCTTTTTCCTCTGAAGACGCGCTCGTTTCATCAGGTTGCTACAACCGTTTCATGAAGTACAGAGACCGAAACTTAGAAATTAACCTGACAGAGGGACAAAAATCAGACTGATTTGTTGCAGTTTTCAGTCATTCATCAGGCTGAACAGTCTGAGTCGGGTTTTTGGGGTTTGGACTCACAGTTTGTGTTCGATGATGTCATGATTTCATGAGGCATCAAGAGGAAGCTCAGACAGTTTGGTTCGGTTCTCGACGTCCTTACTGAAGGTTAATAAACCACCTGAGCTGATGGAGCTCTGACTTCGGACCAAAGACCGTTTAGAAACGCTCGCACTCCACGTTTGTGGCCGCTGTCACGTTTTCTTTGTGCACGGATTTGGTCGAGAGGCTGAAATGCTAAATTATCACCACGGACGTCATAGCATAAAAAACATGGCCGTAGGAAAGTCAACGCTGAAGCGTGTTAAGGTGCATTCGTTCTAACGACCAGCAGAGGGCGACGCAAAAAGACTTCCTGTACAGGAAACCGTGAGTCAGTAACACTTCCTGATGAGTTTATGGCCTCAGCCATGAGGTTCAAGTGTTACATGAGAGTTTGTGAGGAGCACAAACAGTCCACAGGTCCAGTTCAGTGACTGTGACTGAAGCCCATCCTTCTCTGCAAAAGAAGCCACGCCCATCGGTTAAGCGTTACAGTATTCAGATGGATGTCATACGAATTCACTCCATACAGTTTTTCTATCAAACTATAAACGTGGCTCACTCTCCACTCGAGGGGTCAGCGGTGTTAATGTTGGTGCTCAAAAATCATCAGCGCCGGTAAAAAGACAGAAATCCTTCAAACAGCTTGATTTGGAAAACAGCCGGCGGTGGTGTTGGATTAAAATCTGCTGGATAAAAGCTCGCAGCGAGGTTCAGCAGCGGACAGGGAGACACACGGAGCTCCACCCTCCTAAATAAAATAAGATCATCCTGATTAAACCAAAGTAAAAAAGTCAGCGGCACAGAGCAGCAGCACAAACTACAGCGAGGACGTTCAAACAGCAAGAAATGAAATCAGCTTGCATCCCTTTTTCTCCGTGAAGGCTGGAAGTGGAAAGCGCTTTAAACTCAGCTGAGACGTTCGTGTTGAAGCTCAATGTAAAGAGTTCCCCGTGCGAGGATGGTTTGGATCTCGCTCGCCTCCGCACAAAAGGGCCGAGCAGTTTTCAAACATCTGAAAAACAAAGTTCGGAAACCTGTCAGTGGAAAAAATGCAGCTTCTAGTTTATGTTAACGAGTGAGAAGGGAGCGCGAGCGGCGCCGAGCCTGTGCGGGTTAAACCTGATCCAGGTTTCTGACGTCCCCACTGACGCAAAACATGGATGGTGCCCGACGCCCTTTCAGTTTGCCTGAGGAGGCGGAAACCTCCGAGCGGGACAAATACAACCCGAGGCGCTGCAGTGAGAGGACGTTTGGTTCGTGAGGATCCGGAGTCTCGTGTGCTTTTCTTTCGGCGGTCTTCTTGCTACTCGTGCCGTCTGTGCTTCGCGCTCCCTGCATCACTGTGCGCTGGGTTCTGGCTGCTGATTGGCGTTGCTCTCTTCGACTCTTTCGCTCTGGGTCGGGGAGGGCAGGTTAAGGGGATAAAGGGTGGAGTCTTCATCCCTGTGCTCTGACGGTAAGCCTTCAGCTTCCTCGCCAGGCCGAGGGCGGCCGTCAGAAGAGTCTGCGTGTAAATCTCGGTCGGTCTGGCTTTCGGGGTCAGACTGAGCAGACAGGATGTTTGCAAGCGGGACGTCGGCCGAGCTGTCGACCTGCGATGATGTAGTTGATGGCGTGGACGGCGAGGTCTCGCTGCCCGTGCTGCAGCTGGAGGCGTCGGTGGAGAGCGATTCGGCGCCATCGGGTAGTTCAGGAGCGCACGCGACGTCTGTCGGGTCAGCCACGGTCAGCGCGTGCGTTCGCTCCGGCGTGTGCGCTCCGGTGTCGAGGGTGTGAGAGCGAGCCAGGCGCCGCTCTTTGAGGCTTCCTGTGGGGCTGCTGACCGCCACCGTCTCGCCTCGCCTCAGCCTCCACCTGTCCGGATTCACCTGCAACGAAACGGCAGCAGAACTAAAGTCCGTCCTGCTCCAGACCGGAAACACCGATAAATACCAAAGTACATAAGAGAATAAGACGCGTGTACCTGGCTGAGGTTTGGAGAACACCTGGGTGGAGAACCTGAAGAACCCTTCCTCATCTGCTGCATCCTGAAGGTGCAGGTGGGAAAAAGGAAAGAAAAATGGGGCTGAGGGTCGATGGTGGAAGGTTAAAGTCATACATTCATGAGAAATAAAGTCTGATATTCTCTCAGACTAAAGCTGCAAATGTCTGTGAAATACACTCAGAAATAAAGCGGAATAAATCACATTTAGGAGGAATCAACTTTCTCTTAATCTAATCCTGCAGCTGCTTCCTCTAGGGGGCGCCACAGCGCATCATCTGCCTCCATCTCACCCTGTCATCCAGCCCTCTACATCCATGAACCTCCTCTGAGCTCCATCTCCACCCTCCCTCCTCTGCACACGCTCAAACCATCTCAGCCTCTCCGACTCTGATCCATCCTCCTCCCTCCCAACGAAGACCTGAGCATCTTCAGCTCAGCCTCCTCAGTTTGTTCTTCTGTTCTAATCTCAGAATATTCCTGAGAAATAAGACTGAATATCCTCTGAGAATATTCACGAGGAAAAAACAAACACTCGAATACTTTCTAAGAATTTTGCATCGTGAATATGAAAAGATTCAGAAATGTTACTGCGATTGCTCAGAGCAGTCACTGCACGTGTGGTTTGCTTTCCCTTGATGAGTGGGATGGTTTCTTGTGACTGGTGTGGATTCGTGGCTTGTTTGCGGCCTACCTGCTGATGGACTGAGCCAGCTTCTGCTTCCTGCTGTTGGAGTTATCCTGCAGCCTCAGACGCTGCACGAAGGAATGAGCTGAAAGAGCAAAAGCACAGAAACGATCCTGATTACACGGCTGTGGATCACAGTCCCCATTCTAATGAATGAAATTTAAGTAAAGCCTGCTTTGTAGGATTTATTGCTGGTGTTAGTTACCCAGAGCTCCTTTGGGGACGGAGAGGAGTTTGATCGGTTCATCATCAGGGGAGAGTCCAGACGCTTTCTGCAGAGCTCGCAGGATTTCAGTGTTCTGCACGAGATAACAGGAGTATAAGTCTTCAGACCTGCACGACGGTGCAGCGATGAAGAGCTAACAGCTCCAGGAGAACCCCCCAGGAACGACTCCAAAGTAAAAGAAGACGAAGTTCATACTTCTCATATTCAGCAGATCACGGTCCCATTCTTAATAATTACAATTGTGCACCGGCCACTGCAAGGACAGCGAGCCGTTTAAGCTCTCTGTGTTGGCGCTGAGCTCCAGTTACACACATTTGGATTATTTTGAGCTGTGAATCATACAAAGCTACCCTAGCACAGTCCAAAGACATACATTTGGAGTCGAGCGGGTTTACTTTCATGCTTTCTATGAACTCTGAAGCTTTTTGGGAGCTACAGCTAGCTGAACATACTGGAAGGTGCTGTGCAGTTTCATGCTCATCACATTTTATGATTTTAAAATCATGTATCAGACATCAGCATCGGTTTCAAATTCATTCTGCTGGACTACAAAGGCGGGACCTGCAAAGAGCCCTGATGTCAGCACCATGGAGTCGGCCTGGTCACTGAGACGGAGCGACGCCATGACGCTGACATCAGGACCCTGTGAGTCCTCAGATTCAGCGTGAGGCACTCCACGACCTTTCCGCCCAGCTCGTAGGCGCAGTCCAGCGGCGTCCTCTGCCTCTTGTTCCTGATGCCAGGAGAGGTTCCGCCCCTCAGCAACAGCTCCACCAGCGCCAGATGCCCGCCCCGCACTGCCTCATGGAGCGCCGTGTTCCCCTGAAGGTTCGCCACGTTCACCAACGCATTACTCTGTGAACACACACACTTTCAGAGTTAATGTGTGTGTGTGTGTGTGCGTGCGTGCGTGCGTGCGTGCGTGCACCTGTAACAGGATGGTGGCTGTGTCCAGATTTCCACGCAGGCAGGCGTGGATCAGCGGCGTGTTGCCATAGTGATCCTTTTTATTCAGCTTGGCGTTGCACTCCAGCAGAAACCTCACCACCTAAACATCACCATGACACTCAGAATGACATCATCCTTCACAACGATGACAATAAAATCACTTTTTGCCAACAGACACACACACACCACTGTAGTGGACACCAGCAATTAGCCGGGTCCCAGTCAGAGTCACAGACAGACTGTGTTTCCACCGCTCAGCTCTACACGGGCGTCTAAGAAAGTACAACCCCTGCAGAAACAGGCTGCAAGGTGAAATTAGAGAAAGTGACCGTGCAGAATAAACAGCTCACATTTCCCCTCAGTGAGGAGAAAACCTCTGAGCGGCACCTGAATCTGACGCTTGGGGTTGGACTCCTCTTTCTGAGCCGTTTCTCTGCTCAGCGACACGAGCGAAGGAGCGAGTGGACTCGTGCAACAAATGAACTTTAAGTCAACTTTTTGCTCTGCAGTCCGGCTTTCTGATTGTTCACGTTTGAGTCCGTCTTTGTGCCCATTGCATAACTTCTATTTCCTCTGGGTGATATCCAGAACATCCAACAATGAGGATGCTGTGAACTAAAGCTCTGCTGGTGGACACGTGTCCTGCAGTTTACTGAATCTGAGGCAACATCTGCCAGCTGTTGGTGTCCTGAAGTCTCTGACGTCACTGCCTCAGAGATGATGTTGCCTGTCTTCCTTTAATATTGGCTATAAAATAGTTAGAGGATGGGCACCAGTTTGTTGCTGGAAAACAGTGAAGATCTGCAGCCAAGAAGAATCTAGTGAGATTATTTTGATAATACTTGTGCACATCAGGCTAATCTAAGCATGTTTTTACCAAACAGCAGCGTAACCTGGAAATCTGCTGCTGTAGAGCCTGACTTTCTGCTCCTTATGTGACGTGTTCATCAAAATTTGAGTAACTCTTTTAAACCTAACTAACATCAGCCAAAACTTCCGACACGTCTTCCTGACGATGTGGCCAAGTTTTCCATGTTTACATCCTGTGCACAGAAAGCTCACACATTCACTTCTCCCTTATCGCTTACCGGGATGTGGCTGTTCTGGCAAGCCAGGTGAAGCGGCGTGGCGCTCTGGTTGGTGCGGGCGTTCACGTTGGCCCCGTGGCGGATCAGCAGGGTGGCCAGCGGCAAGTGTCCGTGGAGGGCGGCGACGTGGAGAGGCGTGAAACCGTCGACGTTGCAGCTGTTTACGCCGAGAGTTCCCGCCTGCTGCACCGATAGCTGCGGGAAGATCAGAGAGTTTAATGGAAATGGCGTCGCATCCACGCTGCTGCACGGGCCGCCGGCGTACCTTCTGAGTGGGGGCGCAGTTTGGGCACTGACACAGAGGGTGGCAAAGTGGAGCCTCCGACCGTACTTCTCCCTGATCCTCCTCTTCCTCATCCATCCACTCCAACAGGTAACGCACCTGAGAAACAGGATGAGCAGACGTCGTCACGTTTCCCATCGAGGGAACGCGACCCTGAGCGTTCAGCACAAATGCAGAAGACTCACCATCTCCACGTCAGCGTCTGCCACGGCTCGCAGCAGCTTCTCCACCTGTCAGTCAAACACAGAGGCATCAGACACCAACGTTTTCTTCTTCTTTGGTACTCGGAGCTGCACAGACCCCCATGAACGCTTTCTCAGAAATAACGTTTGACCGATTGATTATTGGTGCTAGCAATGTTGTTGTGTTTCCTGGTCAGCGCTCACCTCTCTGTGCCGGACCCGTTCTCCCTCTGGTTTGACCTCCGAGCCCAGGGAGGAGGTGCTGGAGACGGAGGAGCGGCGGCTGCTGCAGTCTGAGGCCAGAGGCGAGCGGCTGGGAGACTGAGAGACAGAAAAGAGATGCTGAAAACACAACCAGCCTCCAAATACTCCCAATGCTAACATAGTTTAGCTTTAGTGTGTGAATGCAGGTCAAATGTGACCACCAGGGTGAACGTTTCAAACATACGTGGTGAAACCAGAGAGGACGCAGAGTCAGGACTGCGAACATTCGCTCACCAGTTGAAAAGTAGTTCCAGGTTTCACTGGAACTACTTTTCACTGAGTCCCCCTGTTAAACATGCAGCCGCTCTGTCTCGTGAGGAAACCTTTTTGTATTCAATTACACTTTTGTCACATGGATTTTGACAATATTCACTGTGATGTTGGAGATCTGTCCGATGCAAGCGTGAGTGCAGATGAGACTCACGTCGACGCTGCTGCCGCAGCGCTTCCGGCCGTTCTGAGTGGACTGCAGCTGCATGAGGATCTGCAGGAAGACATGAACAACACATTCATTTTACAGTATGTGCGCCATGAAACCAATATGTTTCTTTTTCAGGGAGCACCTGAAGCATCTGTTTACATCATTTGAAAAACCTTTATCGTGCAAGAAAGGCTGAATGAACATGACTCAGAGACTCTGCAGGGCTCAAGTCCAGAGCCTGGGGCCTGATGCAGACCTGTGTCTGCATCAGGCCCCAGGCTCTGGTACTGCCTGGAGCAGAGATGAAACAAACATCTGATTTTAAAGTGTATCTGAAGCTGGTTTAGTGGACAGACTGGAGAAAGGGGATCAGTCGACCTGCCGTCAGCAGCTGATCAGATTAGCTGTGACTTACGGGAGCCGTGACACTTATTCTTTCCTGTACTGAGATCAGGAGCTGCTATCCTCATTATGCTACCACAGCTGTAGGGTGAGGGACTCAAACCAGCACCCACACAGTGGAAGCGTCCTCTGCATGTTCTGGCACAATCGAGTGTCGCTGACCTTGGAGTTCAGGGCGCACTGCAGCGGCGACTCCTTGTTCTTGTTGAGGATGTGGGTGCTCGCTCCGTTCTCCAGGAGCACCTGGATGATGCCCTCGTAGCCCCAGCGCGACGCCATGTGCAGCGCCGTGTCGCCTTTGTCGTTCACCAGGTCCAGACGGCACGTTTGGACATCGTAGTACACCAAGGCCTTCACACACTGACACACAGCATTTATTATTTATGAACATGCTGAGTTATTTACTGGAACAGACTAACCCGGTGGGTTCAAACCAACTGGAGCATTTAAAGGATGAAATGTGAGGACATAACAGAGAGAGCGGCGACGTACGTCCTCGTGTCCGTACATGCAGGCGAGGTGCAGCGGCGTGTTGCCGTTGTTGTCCTGAGCCTCCGTGTTGGCCTTGTAGTGCAGCAGCAGCAGCTGGACAACAGAAACAAAGGAAGGACATCGTTTGTTGTAATGTTCTCCTCCTCTGGAGCGTTCATTCGTCTTTATTTAACGACAAGTTTGTTTGGCTGAGGTCAGACAGCTGCGGCTGATCCAGAACACACATTTCAGTCCTCACTTTGGAAACTGGTTTAATGACTTTGTTTGCTTATAACTCATCTGTTTGGATTATGTTAAAGCTTAAAGGTAGAGGTGATGTTTGAACCTGCCAGTTAAAAATAACCAGACTTTGACTGACAGGTGGGTGGAGACACAGGCGGCTGTAGCTGCAGCTTCACCTCAGCTACCTGGAGTCTCTGAGCTGGACCTCTGCACCGTGTTTGTGCTGCTGGAGCCTTATGGAGCATTTTAATGAAATTTTTTTCTGACCAATAATATGGCTGCTGTGAGGTCACTGCACTAACAGACCGTCTAAGTTCAGTTTTAATTTAAATCCCAGGATTTTAGTTTTCTGCGCGTGCTCACCGCTACTCCCTGGTTCCCGCGCTGACACGCCAGGTGCAGCGGTGTGAGGGCGTGGTAGTCTGTGGCGTTCACCTGAGCTCCTTTATGCACCAGTATGTCGATCAGCTGGGACTGACCTGCCACACACACACACACACACACACACACACACACACAGACACACACATACTTTTTATATATAAATTGTGCCTCGCAGTATTAAACAAACTCATGTTGTGTCACTGCGCGTTAGCAGCCACTCACCGCAGTGAGCAGCGACA